AGAAAGATCAAGAAATCTACAGAGGGATTATGGAAAACAGAAAATGTTAGAGCAATTCGGGAAACAAGATTGTATCAGCTGTATATCACAGATTGTTAAGGGGTCTTCCTTCAGTGTTGATGCCACGTTTTTTCATATGGTCTAGTTTCCAGATTATTTGCTCAGCACACAGATTGAATAAGCATGGTGAAAAGATACAGCCCTAATGCATACTTTTCTAATTTTAAATGATGAAGTATCTCCTTGTTCAGTACAAACAACTGCCTCTTGGTCCACTTACAGGCTCCTCATGAGCACAAAAATGTGTTTTGGAATGTCATTCTTCTCAATGTTATCCTTGGTCTGTTTTGATCCATAGAGTCAGTTGCCTTTGCATAGTAAATAAAACACATGTAAACATCTTTCTGATATTCTCTGCTTTCGGCTGAGATTCATCTGACATCAGCCATGATATCCTCATTCCACATCCTCTTGTGAATCAGTCTTGAATTTCTGGAGGCTCTCTGTCAATGGACTGCTGCAGCTGTTTTTGAATAACCCTCAGCAAGATTTTACTTGCATATGGTACTAATGATATTGTCAATAATGTCCCCATTCTGTTGGGTCCATTTTCTTTGGAATGAGCATAAATATGAATCTCTTGTAATAACTTTGCTAATTAGTTGTCTTCCAAAATTTTGGCATAGACTAGTTGGATATTACATAATCCACTTGAATTGGTAGCATATGATCAATACCTGGTGGAATTCCAACCTGCACTGAAGGCATTAGCAAAAAGCTATTCATGGTCCATTCAACAGCTGTCCCTGGCCTCCTTTTATGTCGGGTTATGAGGATCCCCAACACTTGAACAGGGCCTCAGAAGTGACTTTGCGCTTTTCCAATGAGTGCGTATAATGAGGTTTACAGATCCTTCAAAGGGCATACACAACATACGGTAAACATATTACACAGTCAATGAGTAATATCATTAGTGGGCAGCCCCCACAAAAGGCAATGAAATGACCCAGGTCTTGACCTAGTGCTAGTTGACCTTGAACGCTCCTGGGCCCTCCTACATTTTACGATGGGTTGGCTATGGAACCTGATTACTCTTATTTACAGACACAGTGAAGTTGCCAGACACAAGTACGCGACATCTTTTATGGTAGCTCCTTTATGACTGCTCCTTAATGGAGGACTATTATGGGGGACACATTTTCAGCCTGGAGAACATGTCTTTGAAAACATTTCTATCTCAGAACAATGGAGATCTTTCTCAAAATAGGGCTAGTTTTCCATATCCTTGGTTGTGAGTGGAGAATTAAGACACCCTACCACCTCCTCAGTTTACCACAGTTTTAGCTGATACTGAACTTCTCTATTGTCTCTTTCAACCGATGTTGTCAACTTGATTACTGTGTAATTCCATCTGGTGAAGTCCAAGTGTATACTTGCCAATTATGTTCCTGAAATTTGCAATAAAAAATCATGTCATGTGATCTTTGTTGCTATCACTAAAGTCATATTTTCAACTACCAATCCTTCTTTTTTTTAAACTTCCAATCACCAGTAATTATCAATGTGCTTTGATTATACATTTGATCAATTTCAGACTGAAGAAGTTGGAAAACTTATTCAATTTCTTCTTCAATGGCTTTAGTGGTTGGTGTGTAAATTTGAGTAATAGTTTTATTAACTGGTCTTCTTAATAGGCATATGATATTATGACATCACATGCCACATTGTATACTTCAAGATAGATCCTCAAATACCTTTTTGAATAATGAATGCATCACCTTTTCCTTACACTGGTCATTCCTGACATAGTAAATCACATGATGGTCTGATTCAAAATGACCAGTAGCTGTCTATTCCAGCTCACTAATCCATATGATATCTTTATACGTTCCATTTCATTTGACAGCTTCATTTTGACAAATTCCAATGTGCAATGTATGGAGTATGAATCTAAGAAAGGAGTTTTTTCCTTAGAATTGTACTTCATATGTTCCACATTCTGGTCATTATTGCATATCTGCAACTTTTTCTTCTCATCTTAAATCATACCCTTCAGCAGATGAAGGTGCCAAATGCTTTGCTCCATTCATTTCATTAAGGTCAACTCTACTTTGAAGAGGTAGCTCTCCCCAGTCATATTTTGACTACTTTCCAGCATGGGCAAACGTTGAGCTCATCTTCTGGCACCATATCCAACCATCTTCCAGTACTACTCAGACTGTTTTCAGTGGCTAATCCCTCAAAGTGAATCTCCTATTTCATATCCCTAATCTGTTCTTCGGGTCAAAACCCCACCGAATCCTGTCCACCATATATAACCCTGTTGGTATTTGAAAAAAAGTGTCATTGTTTCTAGCATGCATCATAGAAGCAAGCAGGTCACCACAGTATGATAAACTGACTACCCAACATGAAAGAATATGATGAATCTGCTAAGCACTTCATAATGGACCTGGAAAATGTGAGATTGAGTGAAACAGGTCAACTACAAAAGGTCAAATATTGTATAGATCACTGAAAAAAAGGACACATATTGTAGAAGACCACAATTATAAAACTAAATGTATTTCACATTAAAAGAAACATTACTAGATGATTACCAGGATGGAAGGGTAAATTACTAAGTAGAGGACAGTCATATATTAACTTGAGTGAAAGGGAAGACAATGTAGAATAAGAGGGAGAAAAGCCCAAAATGATGGAGGCGGGAGAAGGCACTGGGAGGAATCCAGAGTTAAAGGCAACAGAGGTAAATATTGTTGAATACACAGTCCTGCAATAATGGATAAAGATGCAGGCTAACTATGTGTAGGGGGAGAGTAGAATTGTACCCACAAATCTATATACATATATGTCTGTGTGTGGAATGCACAGGGGACAAAGTTATGAAACTTTTTCAACATAAACAAGCACCCTGAGGGAATGAGTAATGGGGCCTGGAAGCTCAGGACCATGATGTTGGAGAACACCAAGGTGAATTAGCATAACACAGTTCACAAAGACAATGTTTTTATATCCTCCTTCAGTGAGTAATGACGGGGCTTTTATCAGATCATGACCAGCCATGTGAAGTGCAACCACTGGTCACTCCCTGTCCAGAAATGAAAAGTGAAGAAAACTGAAGCTACACGGAAGCAATTATCCTAACATCAACCTCCATGACCCCTGAGATCAGAAGAACCAGATGGTGCCCAACAGCCCTAAAGAGTTCACATTAGATGCTCTTGGATAGTATGGAAGAAAAACATGGGGAAAAACTCAAAATAATTTAAAAAAACAAAACAAACAAAAAATTACCAGGTTTACTAGTTGGATAGAGACTAGTAGAACCTCCAAGATGAATCTTCCCATGACTGATTTTTCAGTCAAACAACAGAGAACAATAACACTAGAGAGAGATGTACATCTAAGAATTATGAACCACTTTGGATCAAAAGGACAGCATTTACCGAAGGACCGAGTTCAAACGGGTTAAGAAAGCAGGAGAGATGGTAATGGCAAACAAAAGAGGGAGTGAAATATGTAGTGTGGGTAAATTGCAGATACTGTGATACAATGACATGAAACAAAATGTGTGTGGAGTGTTGAGTAGAAAATTGATTTTGCTCTCTAAAAAAGAATAGGTCACTGATACAACTTGGATGTACTACAAAAAACATTATGCTAATAAAAGAAATCAGACACCAGATACAAAACACTGCATACTGTGGGGCTCCATTTATATAAAATGCCCATAAAAGGTAAACCTAGCGAGACAAAAAGATTTCTGCTTCCCTGGAATTGGGATGTGAACAGGATTGACTGCCAATGGGCACAAGGACATTTTTTGAGGTGAAAAGCTTCTACAACCGCTTTGTGGGACTGCCTGTTCAATCTTATAAATGTATCAAAGTCACTGAATTATATACTTTGTAGTATTTAAATTATACCTCAATAAAGCTATTAAAAATCACATTTAGAAACTGTGGCTTTACAAAATATAGTTAACCCGTGCCCTTTATGATATAGCTTGATTCCAAAGACACCACACACACACACACACACACACACACACACACACACACACACACACACGATTTTAACATGAATTAACATAAGCAAGAATTACATTTGGTGTGTGATTGACTATGAAATTCAGCAATTTTAAGAAGTACTTAGAGAAACAATAAAAACAACCAAAATATTGAAAGATAAAGCCTCTGAGAAAAATGCTGAAATAATGAACACTATTTGAACTAAGAAAAGAAAACGTAGCTCAATCTGGGTCCTTCAGCCATGAGAGGAAAGCACAATTGCTCAAGCTTTATCCATACGAATTGTTGTAATTTTATACATAAGGAGCCCTGGTGATGCTAAAGTCAACCCCTCTGTGGCTAACGAAAAGGTAGTGGTTAGAATCCACCCAGAGGCTCCACAAGAGAAAGCCTGGTGGTCTGCGCCAGTCAAGATTCTAAAACGAGACTCAACCAGCAAGTCAATTCGGACTCAAAACGACCCTAGAGGGTAGCGCAGAACTGGCCCTTTGAGTTTCTGAGGCTGTAAATCTTTTTTTTTGGGTTTTGTTTTTTGAACCATTTTATTGGGGGCTTGTACAATTCATTTTATTGGGGACTCTTACAGCTCTTATCACAATCCATACACATACATCCATTGTGTCAAGCACATTTGCACATTTGTTGCCATCATTGTTCTTGAAGCATTTTATTTCTACTTGAGCCCTTGGTATCATCTCCTCATTTTTCTCCTCCCTCCCCCACTCATGAGCCCTTGATAATTTACAAATTATTATTAAGAGGCTGTAAATCTTTATGGGAAAGCAGGAAGCCTCATTTTCTCCCACCAATAAAGATTATAGCCTAGAAAACCCCATAGGACAGTACTAATTGGTTACATGGAGTCACTGTGAGTTGCAAATTGACTCAATCTCACCCAACAATACAAACGACTTACATACCAAAAAATAACTAAAAGACGAATTGCTGTAAAGTCTACTAACTTACCCATATAGATAGGAGTCCCACATGTGGTCTGCAGCATGGCTTCCCCCCTGCCATGCTTCTTCACTGCTAAGCCAAAATCACTCACCTACAAGATGGAAACAGGCAGTCACCAGCAGTCATACTCCAGTTTTCATTCTCATGATAGGTCGTCACCACATCACAAGTGTATTTAATGACAGATTCTTCAGTGGGGAAGAGGGACTGTACTTGTAATCAAACTAAGAGGGATCTTGCTTGTCTCTCTACCCAGGCCTCTGTGTGGAGAAGAAACTTGGTAAAGGGAAGCCTGGCTTCTCAAATCTTGAGAAAACACCCATGATACTGATTGTTCATGCCTTCTAGTTAAATTGATCAATTAAACCTAGGTTTAATTGAAATAAGACATTTAGCAATTTTTAAATAAATGTGTTCTTTTTCATTCTTTCACTGTATTCTCTGGCCTGGTATGTTTGACATCTGTTATTCTGATACTCAAGCCAGGGCCCCATTTAAAGCACGTTAAATGCAAACCATTCTCTTTGTCAGCATTCACTGAAACTTCATTATTTTTTATAGTTATTTAAGATTGGTAAATACTAAGCAACGAAGCCCACATGGAAAAAGCACACCAGCCTATGCAACCACGAGGTGTCGAAGGGATCAGGTGTAAGGCATCATCAGAACAAAAAATCTTACCATAGTGAATGATGGGGGGAGTGTGGAGTGGAGATCCAAAGCCCATTAGTAGGCCACTGGAGATCCCCTTGCAGAGGGGTCTCGGGGAGGAGATGAGCCAGTCAGGGTGCGATGTAACAATGATGAGAAATACAACCTTCCTCTAGTTCCTAAATGGTTCCTCCCCGCTCCCACTACCATGACTCGAATTCTATCTTGCAAGACTGGCTAGACCAGAGGAGGTACACTGGTACAGATAGGAACTGAAAATACAGGGAATCCAGGATGGATGAGCCCTATAGGACCAGTGGTGTGAGTGGCAAAACAGGGAGGGTAAAGGGAGAATGGGTAGGAAAGAGGGAACCGATTACATGGAACTGTGTGTGACCTCCTCCCTGGGGGACAGACAACCGAAAAGTGGATGAAGGGAGAAGTCGGACCGGGCAAGATATGACAAAATAACAATTTATAAACTATCAAGGGCTCATGTGGGAGGGGGGAGCGGGGAGGGAGGGGAAAAATGAGGACCTAATGTTGGGGGTTTAAATGGAGAGAAAATGTTTTGAGAAATGATGTACAAATACGCTTTACACAATTGATGTGTGTATGGATTGGGATAACAGTTGTATGAGCCCCTAATAAAATGTTTAAAAAAAAAAAAAGATTGGTAAATACTATCTTTCCTTTACTATTATTTCCTTTGTTTCCAGAGCATACTAATTACAATAATTAAGACACTATTATTTACAACAAGAAGCAAATTAACAGGAGAAAAAAACAAAAGCACCCAGGATAACTACAATTACACTGGGGATCTACTGCTGCAGCTGCAGCCTTTCTGCTTGATTCTAAACCTTGGTCATTAAACATTTGGTCATTAAACATTCAGTACGTGCCCTTGGACTTGTCTTCCAAGTTGGAACAGCCTTGGGCTGAAAGGAGAAAAATCGGCACATTTATCGAACAAATAACCACATACAGGCTCTTGGGGCCTAGCCACTGAATGCCATTTCCTGTGCCTTAAAAATAAGAAAATGTTCCTATTAACATGTGATGTCACTATTATTCTAACTATAAGAAATAATTTCTCCAGGAGTTTATGTAAGTATCCCACTTGGAGACTATGAGACACCTTTTTCTACAGAATATATATATGGATATCAATAGACAAAAATTTTCACAAATTCAATTAAGTTCTCTGGAGTTCCTTCATTTACCCAGCATTAATTAAGCACCTATTGTCTCAAGCACAACTTCAGGTACAACAGTGATAGGACATACATAATTCCTGCTCCCGTGTAGTTTATAATAGAGCTATTTTAAAATTTTACTCTGATAAAACAATAATGCTAATAAAACTACTTATGTTACATAGGGATTTTAGCTTCAACAACAAAGTTATTCACAGAGAACATTTTACTACTAAATTAACACATTCATAAATTTTGAAACAGCCACTATTAAAATGCTAAGTAATAAATAATATATTCTATCATTTATTTGACATTAAGGAACATTTAACTTGAGTAAAATCTTCAAGAATAAACACTTGGCACAATAATTGTGTTTAGGATGTAAATATTAATAGAGAAAATTTTTCAATGAGGAATATTGATTTTACTACAGTTAAAGGAACAGCATAGGTATACTTTTCTCTAAATATGTAACACATTACATCAAATTACCAAGCATAATTTTGAAAGTAATTAGTAGTTAAGAAGTACTTTCAAAAAGCATTCAGTAGCATCATTTAACTTATAAAGCTATTCTTATCTCTTATCTCACAACCTCTTTGTGAATTTTTTTAAAACTTTTGTGAATTAGATAGGGTTTGAATATCAGATCATTATTTTTGCATTCAACAATGTAAACAACTTGTCAACAATGTTCAACCCTCCCCGTGGCGTAGTCTATTCTACCACCTTTTTACTCTCCTCTCCCTCTTTGTCTTTCTTTCTACCCAAATTAAGATTTATTTTTCCTCTCTAGCTTATAACTTCCCCTTCCCCAATTCCCCTCTGACCCTGGTAACCATCAATGTCTGTTTTCTTTTGGTATGAACACCTTTTCTCAATTTTTTTCCCATCAGTGGTCTCATACAATATTTGTCCTTTTGTGATTAACTTCACTAAGCATAATGTCCTTCAAATTCATCCATATCATGAGGTATTTCACTCTTCGACCATTATTCTACAGCAATGTTTGGTATTCCATTTTGTATGTACCAGAGTTTATTATTCATTCTTCCACCAATGGGCATTTACCAGTAGGGTGTTTGTCTTTTTGCCATTGTGAATAATGCTGTGATGAACATAGGTGCACAGATATGCTTGTGCTGTGTTCCTAACTTCTACAGGGTATATACCAAGTCGTGTGATTGCTAGTTACGGTATTTCTAGTCCCAATTCTTTGAGATGTGCCACACAGCTTTCAACACTAGTTGGGCTGTTCTAGTCTCATTAGCAATGTGTATGAGGTTTCCAATTTTTTTTCTTTTAAAAATCATCTTATCGGGGGCTCATACAACTCTTACCACAATCCATACATCCATCGTGTCAAGCACATTTGTAGCCATCATCATTCTCAAAACATTTGCTTTCTACTTGAGGCCCTGGTATCAACTCATTTGTTCTCCTCCCTCCCCACTCCTCCCTCCCTCATGAACCCTTGATAATTCATAAATTACTTTGTCATCTTACACTGTCCGACATCTCCCTTCACCCGCTTTTCTGTTGTCCATCCCCCAGGGAGGAGGTTATATGTAGATCCTTGTAATCGGTTCCCCCTTTCTCCCTTACCCTCCTGGTATCTCTACTCTAATTATTGGTCCTGAGGGGTTTATCTGTCCTGGATTCCCTGTGTTTCCAGCTCTGATCTGTACATCCTCTAGTCTAACCAGATTTGTAAGGTAGAATTGGGATCATGTTAGTGGGGAGAAGGAAGCATTAAAGAACTAGAGGAAAGTTGTATGTTTCATCATTGCTATACTGCACCTTGACTGGCTTGTCTCCTCCCCATGAACCTTCTGTAAGGGGATGTCCAGTTGCCTACAGATGGGCTTTGGGTCCCCACTCTGCACTCCCCTTCATTCACAATGATATGATTTTTTTGTTTTTTGATGCGTGGTACCTGATCCCATCGACACCTCGAGATCACACAGGCTGGTGTGCCTTCCACGTGGGCTTTGTTGCTTCTCAGCTAGATGGCCAAGGTTTCCAATTTCTATACACCTCTTCTAGCATTCTTTGTTTTCTGCTTTTTTGACCTTTGGTATCAGGGCCTGGATGAAGTGGTATCTTATCGCTTTGTCTCTCTAAGACGGCCTAGTGATGATGAGCATTTCTTCAGATGCTTGTTAGACAGCTGAATGTTTTCTTGGTAAACTGTCTGTTCATGTACTCTACCCATTTTTTAATTGGGTTATTCATCTTTTTTTTGATGTGTTACAGTTTGCTATACATTTAAGAGATTAGTCCCTTGTCTGATATGTCATTGCCGAAAATATTTTCCCAGTTCATGGGTTCTCTTTTTACTATTTTGATGAATTATTTTGATGTATATGTGTCTAATTTTTAAAAGGCCTCCATCATCTATTATATCTTCTGCTGTGTGTGCATTTTTCATTCTGTTTGATAGTGTGCTTATGCCATTTCGGGACTAAATTTCTCCCTAGTTTTTCCACTGATGCTCTATATAGCAGCTCTAGGATTTGCATTCAGGAGTCTAATGCATCTTAATTCAGTTTTGTATATGGAGTACGGTATGGGTCCTGTTTTCAATTTTTGGTAAATGGAAACCCAATTTTGCCAATAAATAAAAACAAAAAAACATATCCTATTTCTTTTATTTTTGTGACTGTGGGTTTATTTTACTGTTCTTGTTCTAGTTGTTGATGTTGGCTAAAGTTATTGGTTTGGGTTTTCCTTTTTCAATGTGTGTTTATTGCTATAAATTACCCTTTGAGGACTGCTTTAGCTGACTCCCAGCTTTGGGTACATTGTATTTTCGTTCTCATTTGTTATCAAGAAATCATTATTTTTTTCCTTTATTTCAATTACCCAATGATTTTTTAGCAGGGTGTTATTCAATTTTCATGTATTTGATTATCCCCCTTAATCTTCCTATTGCTGACTTATAATTTTATAGCACTGTGATCTGAGAAGATGGCTTGTACTAGTTAAATGTTTTAAAATTTATTAAGGCTTACTTAATGACCTGCCATATGGTCAATTCTGGAGAATTGACCGTAGATGCTGGAAAAGAATGTATATTGTGTTGTTCTTAATGGACTCTTCTCTATATTGATTAGTTCTACACTTTTCTTTCTTTCTAGTTGTTCTGTCCTTCAAGTGCATCTTGAAAGCCTCTACTATTTTTGAAGTGTTGTCTATTTCTCTCTTGAAATCTATAAGGGTTTTATTAACTGATTTTGAAGGTCTTTCATTGAGTGCACAAATATTACAGTTATATCTTCTTGTTCTGTTGTCCCTATGATCATTATATAGTGGCCTTCTTAATTGCTAATCGTAGATTTTGCCTTGAAGTCTACTTTATGGACGACTAAAATTGCCACTCTGTTTTTATCTCATTGCCATTAGCTTGAAATATATTTTCCCACTCTTTGATTTTTAATCTATTTTTTGTCTTTGAATCTAAGTTGTGTTTCTTATAAGTGGAAAACTAATGAGTTCTTTTTCTTATCTATTTTGATACTCTGTCTCTCTTGAACGGTACATTTTAATCCATTTACATTCAATGTCATCGGTCGGTATGAATTTATTTTTGTCATTTTGCTATGTTTGTATTGTTGGTGGTTTCTTTGTTTTTTGTCTTTAATGTGCTAAGTTAATTTTGTGATTTTTTTGGTGTCCTTTTTTTCATTTGCTACTTTACTATTCTTTTTAAATTTACGTTTTGGTAAGCCTGATCCATTTTCTTTGAGGTTACCTTATTATTTATCTCTTCCCAAATTTAACACGATTTGTTCTTCCTTGAAATTGTCATTACTTCCTCTCCATTCAAATGTTTTGTATCTGAATTATTCCCTTTTTATTTTCTAACTGTCTTAATTTCAAATTGATGTGTCTGGTTCCCTATTTTGAGTTTTGTAAGAGTTTTTTGGTTTGTTTGCTTTTCTTGATAATTGGGTTGACTTTGTGTAGTATTGTCTTGTATGTTGAGCTCAGGCTGATGTCTGCAGCTGTTGCTGGTTGTATTCGTAGAACTCCTCACAGTATACAGGATTGATTTTATTTTTATAAATCCCTTTAAATTCTCTCTGTCTGGACATGCACTATTTCTCTCTCATATTTGACAGACAACTTTTCTGGATAAAAGATTTTTGGTTTGTAATTTTCTTTCAGAATTTTATATACTATATACCATTGCCTTCTTGCATGCAAGTTTTCTGCTGAAAAATCCAATCTTAGTCCCAGGTTCTCCTTTGTAGGTAAACTTTTTGTTTTTCATGAGCTCTTTTCAGAACTTTTTCCTTGTCTTTGATTTTAGAAATTTTGATTATGATGTATAACGGTGCTTCTCTTTAGGGATCTGTACTAATTAAAATTCTTTTAGCTTCTTGGGTGGTTATATTTTCCTCTTTAATAATGGTAGGAGAGTTTTCTGTCAACAATGATTTAACAAATTTCTATTTGCTTTTCCTTGTTTCTTCCTGTTCTGGAATTACTATACTGTGTCATGTTAT